ATGTCGGCCTCTCCGTGGGAGTTGAGGTAAGACCTCATCTTGTTCTAGATCCTCTACCTCCTCACCCGCTATCACATTGCCGAGAGGGTCATTTGCATTAAGAGCCATTGTACCTAATTGATCGACACAACAAAGTCAGTAAATAAGAAGGAAAGATAAGCAAAACACAATACTAGCTACACAAATAGTCAATACCGTAAAGCTCCCCGGCAACGGCGCCAAAAAGTGATCGCAGTGGACTCAAACTAAGGAAGAGTGGGCACTAATACTTTTACCCNGAAGCTAATTGGGCCTCGGAATCTTGGTTCTTTTTCATCATTTGCTCGAACATGCTTTCAATTCTCCCCATCTAGCTTCCGGACGAACTCGGACCTTGAGAAGGAAAGGGAGGCGGGTTATTGAGTTGTTGATACATTGGGGGCCTTTGAAAGCCTTACCCCTATTACCTTGTCCACCATTATTGTTCCAACCACCTTGACCACCATTGTTGTTGTTCCAATTGTTGTTCCCGTTCCAATTACCTTGATTCCCCGAATTATTGTTCCCCCAATTGCCTCCTTGATTGTTGTTGTAATCCAATTGCCACCTTGTTGATTGCCCCAATTACCTTGGGGTCTCCATTGTTGATTCCCTTGATTACCTTTATTCCCTTGATTGTTGTTAACATATTGGACTTCCTCACTTTGGTCATCAAAACCTTCATTTGAATATCCACTACCATCATTGTTGTTGTCATATTGTTCACAATTACCTTGAGGTTGTTGTCCTCTTTGCCTCCTTTTCAACATAGAAACACCTTCCATTGCGTTGACTTGGCACGGGTTTTGGACTTGTTGCAATTGCGCCTTTACCAATTGATTCATAGTTGTTGTAAGCTCGGCTATGGCTTGGCCATGATCGTGTAATTCCTTGTGCAAATGGATGACCGNCCCAAGATAGGCCAAAATATGAGTCTCACGAGCTCAGCTGCTATCCGCCCAAAAACAGAACTAAGAAAACTGCTCCTAAAAAGTAAAATGTTCTATTTATACTACACAGGAAAAACCGGACAAAAATACCCCTGAGGGTCTGGCGCGGACCGCGCACAAATGACGCGCGGCCGCGGAGGGTTTTGGGTCTTCATATCTTGCTTCTGGCACTGGGGACGCGGACCGCACTGATTAGGTGTGCGGCCGCGTGGGCTTTTTTCTTGAATGATTGAGTCTCTGACATTCTTAGGCGCGGACCGCACGGAAAGGGGCGCAGACCACGTGAAAAGGAGCGCGGACCGCGCAACTTGACTTAAAAATGGCATGGCCTCTGAACTTTCCTGTGCGGCCGCGTGGCAAAACAGTGTGGACCGTGCAGGTTGACCTTGAAAATGCCCAGCCTCTGAACTCTCCTGTGCGGCCGCGTGACAAAACAGTGCGGACCGCACAAGTCATTTTGTTCCCCCCTTTTGTTGTCTTTTGACACTTGGCAGATTTCACTCCTTTTTGAGCCGATCTTTAGTATTTGTCATCTTGTCGCTCAAACCTGCAATCAAGCGCAACTTGTAAGCATTTTGGGACTAATTTATGGCAGTTAATGCACAAAGCTTAGGTAAGAATGAGTATAAAATATGTAGAAATCACAGTTATCAGGTACTATCAGCGCATAAATGTGGGGAAGGTTGTGGGTACGATACGTAGGATGAGCAAGAGTAGAGCTACCGGGGCCAAACGAGATCCCAATGGAATTCTGGAAGAGCTCGGGTAAGGCAGGCCTGGAATAACTCTTTAGGTTGTTCAACATCATTTTTAGGACGAAGAGGATACTCGAGGAATAGAGATGGAGTACGATGACTCCGTTGTACAAGAACAAAGGTGATATCCAAAATTATAATAATTATAGGGGTATCAAGTTGCTAAGTCATATGATAGAAGTTTGGGAGAGGGTGGTGGAAGAGACAGTGAGGAGGAGTGTGTTTATTTTCGGGAACCAGTTCGTTTTCATGATGGGGCGTTTGCCTATAGAAACCATTCATCTGGTGAGGAGATTGGTAGAGTAGTGTAGGACAATGAAGTAGGACTTGCATAGGGTGTTCATCAACTTAGAGAAAGCATACGACAAAGTCCCAAGAGAGGTTCTGTGGAGGTGTTTAGAGGCTAAAGGTGTGTATGTTTCCTATATTAGAGTAATTAAGGAATGTATGATGGATCTAAGATACTGGTTAGGATAACGGGGGGAGACTCAGAACGCTTTCCGACTGTGATGGGGTTACATAAGGGATCACCCCTTAGCCCGTTTTATTTTTCTTGGCAATGGATACATTAACGCGACACATTCAAGGGGAGGTGTCGTGGTATATGTTATTTGCGGATGATATAATTTCGATTGACGAGAGTCGAAGAGGTGCTGACGATAGACTGGAGGTTTGGAGGCAGACTCTTGAGTCTAAAGGTTTCAAGCTGGGCAGGACTAAGATGGAGTATTTGGAGTGCAAGTTTAGCGAAGTTACCCAGGAAGCAGACATGAGTGTAAGGCTTGATACACAGGTCATCCTCAGGAGAGAGAGTTTCAAGTACCTTGGATCTATAATATAAGGTAATGGGGAGATTGATGAGGATATCACGCACTCTATCAGAGCAGAATGGATGGAGTGGAGGCTCGCTTCCGGTGTCTTGTGTGATAAAAATGAGCCACTGAGACTTAAAGGTAAGTTCTACAAGGTAGTAGTTAGACCGACTATGTTGTATGGAGCAGAGTATTGGCATGTCAAGAACTCTCATGTTTAGAAGATGAAAGTAGCTGAGATGATAATGTTAAGGTGGGTGTGTGTGCATACCAGGTTAGATAAGATTATGAATGAAGTTATTCGGGATATGGTGGGAGTGGCTCCTATGGAGCATAAGATGCGAGAGGCGAGGTTGAGATGATTCAGGCATGTTAAGAGGAGAAACATAGAAGCTCCAGTTAGAATGTGCAAGAGGTTAGCCTTAATGGGTATCAAGAGGGGTAGAAGTAGGCCTAAGAAGTCTTGTGGAGAGGAGATCAAGCAGGACATGGCGCAACTGGAACCAACTGAGGACATGGCCCTAGATAGGAGGGTGTAGAGGTCGAAGATTAGATTAGAAGGCTAATAGGTAGTTGACTGTTTCTCTTTGTCTTACTCAGTCCGCTAGCATTAGTGTTAGTATGATATCTTTCATTCATTGATTGATATTACTACGTAGAGTTTAACTGCTTTCTTGGCTTCGGTCTTATTTTTATCTTGTTATTCCTACTTGTTGCCATTAACTTTTTCTTCCGTTCTCCAGCCGAGGATCTATCGAAAACAACCTCGCTGCACTTCCAAGATATGGGTAAGGTTGCGCACATCTTACCTTTTCCAGACCCCACTTGTAAAAAATTATTGGGTATGTTATTATTATTATAATGATAAAACTCTATTTTTTTTATAGATGCAGTGTGATTGCTCTGTGAATTATGAGTATAGAGATTGGAGGGAATTATATGTAGAGCTTATTTACATAGTGAGAAAGGTAGACTTAACCAAATTAACTTTAAAATGCCCAACATTTTTGGGGTTTGGGCAGGGAGACTAATAAATAGGCATAAAAATCACGTTAACAAATGATTTTTGGGCGAAGTGCACCAACAATCACTTTTAAACATACTGTATAAAATATATTCATAATTTACAATATATTTAAAGATTAGCCAATTACTCAAACTTTTGGACTAAATATCCTGAATTTTTTAGCTACTAATTTAAGATTCAGGACTTTGTATCCTAAATTTTAGAGCTGCTAATTTAAAATTCAGGACATAAATTCCGAATTTCTGGACAAATTTTTTGAACTTTAGGACACGATGTCATGAAGTTTGAACTTTGAGGTTTAAACTTCAGCATGTCGCGTCCTGAAGTTTGAGCAAATTCGCTAATCTTTAAATACATTGCAAACTTAAATAACATGCTTAAAAGTAGCTACCTGGTGTGTCTAGGGGAGTCAAATGAGCGGGTTGGGATGATTTTGGACATGTCAAAATGGATCTGCCCAAAAGTTACTTGGATTGAGATAGGATATGTTAAGATTGGTTAAAATTTGGGTCATATTCAACCCGTCCAACTCTTATCAAGCTTTAATTAATGTGTATTATTTTCTTATGAATTATTTAATTATTAAATAAGACCTTTTTTTCTTTTGTTATGGTCATATATATAACATCTCAAACATAAGAATTATTTTTAAGATATTTGAGCAAAGTTACTTATGAATCAATTTGAGCTAAAATAAAGTAAAAATCGCATGGGTTAGCCAGTTTTTAGACTGGTTATCGAAAAATAGCTAGCATTTGCAAAGTCATTGAAAAATAGCCACTATTTTATGCAAAGATAAAATATGAATAAAATACCCTAGCTGAAACACGGAAAGTTGCAACATAATATGCTGGATTATGAAGCTCATGAGTTTAAACTTCCAACACATTATGAAATCCAACACATTATGCTAAAATCTCATATGTAAAAAGTTCGAACTCCAGCATATTATGCTGAAATTTTTTCCGGATTTTGAAAGGTGTTTTTGTTTAGATTTTATTTTTACATAAAAAAGTGGCTACATTTCTATTGCTTTTGAAACTATGTCTATTATCAGTTGTAAATTGTGTTATTTCGGTTTTTTTTTTCAAAAGTAAATCCAACTTTAAATGAACTGAGATGAGCTGGATCAAGATGGGTTGAGTTCAATAAATAGACGGCTCAATGACCGATCCAACCTTGACCAGGTTGGACAGATCAAATGAATTTAAGCTCAAATTGCCACGTCTATAGGTGTCCAAGGAGTGTTTATGTTAATATGTTGTAAAATCAATAAATAAGGAGTTGGTTAACAATCTATTAGGATTTCAGTTTAACCAAAGCAACAAACAACAGATCATTATTAGTTTACGTAATTACTCGTAAAGTTGATTAGCTCAACCAAATTGAATACCCACCGTCCACACTCCACCCTTTAAATAGCAATCCACCTCAATCTAATCATCTAGATTTAGCCTCAGTTTTCAAAGCTAATGTATCAGAACAAATTAAGCTAGTACAAAGCCAATGTATCAAAATCAATACAAAATGTTTGCTAATTCAAGAAAAGCAAAATTTTCAGTCAATTTGGTTTTCTTTAACTGTGTGTTTGCTCCATTAATTAAGGCCACAGCTACGCATTCCATTACTCCTAGAATAGTCTACACTCTAGATCATTCAATACATGACCAGCTTTAGTGCATTACTGCGTTTAATTTGTGTTTTACATTACAACTAATGTAGGAATAGTGTTAAAAAAAATATCTCATTGGAAAATCTTGATTAGTTTATATATTCTTATAATCACAAAGGAACCATTTAATTACTTGAAAAGTTCCTGGTAGGGATTGGAATTATTTTTCCCGCAACTAAGTATTAGATATCAATAAGCAGAACAATTATTTAATTTGAAGTATGGAATACGACATTCATTTAGACAGTATAAAAAGAAAAGAAAAAGTGATAAAATGTGAAAATTCTTTGCTTGACTAGTTGACCTGACCTCATCACAATTATTAAACATCCTTGTTGAGATTGAATTATTTGAGGGTTTCCCAATTATATAGATAGAGAGAGCAATTTGATCTAAAGTGAGAGATGAAATTTCATTTTTTATTTTTATGAAGATTGAGTAGAAAGGCATAGTGATCTTAGCTATTCTCTCCATTTAAAAAGATTGTTTTAGTTTGACTTGACACAAACTTTATTAAAGAAGGAAAAATTTTTGAGATATGTGGTCTTAAGTCATTAGTGTGTCTATAAAATTTTTAGAACTTGCGATCTTAAATTTGCCATAGTATTTATGTGGCTATAAATGGTTCTTATTAAAAAAATATTGAAAGGTGTAAATCTTTTTTAAACGGCCTAATAAGGAAATAATGTCAATCTTCTTAAAATGAAGGGAATAAGATTTAATTTAGATGGATGATTGACATATTAAGGTCAAAATACATATCAATATCTCTTTTACTACTTTCTCTAGTCATTTTATCTATCATTTAAAGGTTTGGTACAGTCGCTAAAAAATCGCTTAACGTCATTAATTATTATCTGTATTTTTTCTTAAGTAAAATAATTGATGGATATATATCTTCTTGGAGTATTGAGCATGAAACAAAAAAAAATCAATATTCTGGATTTCCTAAATAAATTGAGTAAATTTTTTAGTTCATTTTTTTTTTGGAATAAAGTGACAGATAAAAAAGATTAGAGAAGTATTGGAGTGTTATGAATATATTATATTATGGATGTTCTTTTAGTACTCCGTTGTAAATAAGTTTCCTGAAGAAACTTATCCATATGGGACTCTGCCGTAAATATGTTTATCTATTTAGTACTCTATTGGAAATAAGCCTCCTGAAGAAGCTTATCACTTCGGTACCCGGTTATGGATAAACATTACCTCCGGTAGAAGATTATCCATATCGGGTATAATAAGCTTATCCTTTAGATACTCGGTTATGGATAAACATTACCCCATAGAAGATTATTCATACCGGGTATAATGAGCTTATCCTTTCAGTACTCCGTTATGGATAAAATATTACCCTAGTAGAAGATTATCTATACCTGGTACAATGAGCTTATCCTTTCAATACTCCGTTATGGATAAAATATTACCCTAGTAGAAGATTATCTATACCTGGTACAATGAGCTTATCCTTTCAATACTCCGTTATGGATAAATATTACTCTCAGTAGAAGATTATCCATATCTGGTATAGTAGCAGCTTACACAACAACTTCCTTTCTTCTATAAACAGAGGAGATTTCAGTTCATTATGTACATCTGTTTGAATTCGAATAATATATCAGTTTCTCTCTATACTTGTCTTTACTTTACAGTCGTTATTTTATAACACGTTATCAGCATGAGACTCTGCCATCTCGAGCAAATATATTGAAAGTATCTGAGGTAAGAACTTTCTTTTCCTAAATAATGTCAAATCTTTCTAAACTTGAATTTGTAGCCCTGGATATATCGGGCAAAAGCTATATGTCTTGGGTGCTTGGTGCTGAAATTCATCTTGATGCGATGGCTCTGGCAGACACCATCAAAGACAAAAATCAGGCATCAAACCAAGACTGTGCCAAAGCAATGATATTCCTACGCCATCACCTTGATGAGTGCCTGAAAATGGAATATCTTACTATTAAAGATCCAGCCATACTGTGGAATAATTTGAAAGATATATATGACCACCTAAAGATGGTCGTTCTTCCACATGCACGATATGATTGGATTCATCTAAGTCTACAAGATTGTAAATCTATAAGTGAGTATAATTCTGCTATGTTTAGAATTATTTCTCAATTGAAATTATGTGGTGATAATATTACTGATCATGATATGTTGGAGAAAACTTTTACCACTTTTCATGCCTCGAATATGCTCCTGCAGCAGCAATATCAAGAGATGTGATTTAAAAAGTATTATAAACTTATCTCACATCTTCTTACAGCCGAGCAACATAATAGGCTATTAATGAAAAACCATGAAAGCCGACCTACTGGTTCTTGTCCATTCCCTGAAGTGAATGAGACGAACTCCCACCAAGCTAGACGTGGAAGAGGTCGTGGCCCCAGTCGTGGTCATGGCCGTGGTCGAGGAAGAAATTTTAATCATGGTAATAATAATGCACCAAAGAACCCTCCTCACCACCAGCAGTGGAAAAGGAAGGAACAAAAGCATGAAGCGGTGCAAGCACCAAATGCAAAAAATACATGCTATAAATGTGGAGGAAAAGGGCACTGGTCACGTACCTGCCGTATGCCAAAGTACCTGGTTGAACTTTATCAAGCCTCCCTGAAGAAGACAGAGAAAAATGCTGAAGCAAAATTTATTTGTGAAGATAA